CGGGTCTTCGGTGTGACGAGCGAACGCTTTAACCACTCAGCTACGCCACCGCCCCTGGATATGATACGAGTGAGTATAGTTTTACGCCGCTTTTAACAATATTCCAGCAATATCACGGCAGGGGACACCAGAAATATGTTTCACACATTGTACCAATGTGGGGAATCGAACCCGGGTCTTCGACGTGACGAGCGCACGCTTTAACCACTAAACTACCCCACCGCCCCTGGATATGATACGAACTGGGGAAGCTTTTATATCTGAGTCCAATTTTTCTCAACACATTCTCCTTCCTCCTACCTGGTTCATCCAAACTTTCAAGTGACCACTTTTTATAGACATGTGCATGAAAATATTTGAAAAAGTTAATCTTCCTCTTAGAGCCCCAGCCTTCTCTTAAAATCGCGTTGTAGTATTAAGAATGGTCATAATTTTACGAGTTTATATCTTCAGATATCAATCTCATGATTCAGTCTTCATTCTGGTAAATTGTAGAAGGTACTTTTGTTTCAAAAAGCGTGACACACCATCCGCGGAATAAATACAACGTTGCACGGAGATCTGATATGGTGCTATTTGTGCAACGTCATCAGCGAAGTGAAGGATGAGATTAATGAAGTCTATGATCTTTTCAGCTACGCCGGATTTTCATCAATTGACCCGTGAAGATCAGGGTTAGAATTTATTTCCAGCATCCCATGCTTGTTGTAAGAAGCGACTAACGGGATCGGGTGGTCAGGCTCGCTGATTTGGTTCACATATGTCATCGTATCCCATAGATCGATGCTCATGATGTTAATCACTGCATTGTATGGTCCAATCTCGATTAGATACGGACCGCCGCCATATAGCTGGAAAATTGCTGATCGAGGCGTTAAAGAACAAACAAACAAACATCAGCAGAGTACCGCATCTTGCCAGTCAACAAAGATGTAAGACGTATGCCATGTAGCACGTGCAGTACGTGTTTGCGCTGTTCCTCCTGCTGTTGTGCACCCCTCCGTTAAAGAAACTCGTACACATGACATGTTAGTTTTTTAAACATTGTTTTCCCACTGATGCGTATAAAAATAACAAACAACAGATATTGATGGGTACAGGGTGTTTATTGCATGTACCGTATTGACATCTAATAGACGGTTCCCAACTTTGAATTATTTTTTTAATCATCGTTCTCATTTGGAGACAGACGGAATGTAGTTACTCGAATATCACGGAAGTAGGCGGAAACTGACGAGTGTTAGTAACGGTACATGTATATATGCCCTTCAAAAAAGTAGAAGAACCTGAACTTTCAACTTGGATAGGAATCATAAACGTAAACAAAGTTTTCAAAGACAGACATCTTATGAACGCACCACCATTTCTCTTTATCAGTACCCCTAAACACAACGCACGGAATGCACGTGCACAACGCAGTAGCCCATACACGTGCATGGGGTGTCATTCTTGATTTTGACGGTTTTCAAGAAGGTCGATAAATCACTGTAGACCATTAATTTTGACTATCAACTTACATCACACAGTTGATAGTGTTTGTTTCTGGCTGTTTTATTTTATTTTATTTTTTTTGCAAATGAAACTCGTACACATGCAAATTTCACGTCATACGCCAATCATCTTACTGTACAAACAATTATGGTCATAAGAGGTACAAGTGCTGATGCACTCTCAAAACATTCATTATTATCATATAAACATTTAATGACTCCGATATATCTTCCAATTATTTTCAATAGCAAATTAAAAATGAAGTTCCCCTACTATTTCTTAAGAGTACGTATTTTAACTTGTGCGGTGTTCATGCGTAGCTACGCAGAAGTTTCACGAAATAACGCAATAAAGACTTGCGTAGTGATGTATATGTATATAGTATATAAAATATAAACAGATGATGACAGAACATATGTCAGTGGGTTTTATTTGCTGATTTACACGAGATCACACCTGTCGCATAGCACTAACAGCTATTTGGATATACTGATTGTGCTCGTGGACGGAAAGAGATTTTTCCATATGCAGAAACCAGGACGGCGGGTCATCTGACCAGACGGCGGGCCAGGTGACCAGAACTAGACAAGAGACTGCACCAAGTAAAATGCTGATGAATATGATTACACAGTGTGCTCACTGGTGTTTACACGTTTACACCTCCAGAAACGCTAAAATCATTGAAGTTAATTCAAAGCATAAAAACACATCTTAAACTGGAATAATTTTCGAAACTCCTTGACTCGTTTTTCAAACTAGCACCCCATCTGCTTAAAGCGTGTTTTGTTCAAGTTGTCATATTTTATCCGTATCTTATTTTTTTAAATAATCCAAAATACCGTTTTGCATTTTATTTCAATTCGACTTCCAATGTTTGTCATTTGAAAGAAAGATATATCAATGTATAAAAGAAAAGTCGCTGCTGGGTCTACGTCATAGGTATATACCAATGTTTAAGGTTATTCTGCAAAATCCTGGCACTTGTGTACACAATACCACACTGACCTGTGTTCTACAATCCAAGAATGGTGCCATTTGATTATGCGACATGACAGACTGAATCGCGGGGTTTGTGCAACGAGATATTTGTTTCTAGCAAGTCGTAATTGGTTCATGGCTATTTGGAAACTTGTAATAATGACATGACGTCATAGTGTATGTTCTGACGTAATACGGAATGACGTAACAGTGCATGAGATGACGTGATAGTGCGCCGCAATGTTCCATCTTTATGAGAGTGGCCTATTAATATACGAGTCTGGACCAGATAATCCAGTGAATGACATCATGAGCATCGATCTAGGTAACTAGGGAACGATAACATGAATCAACGTTTGTGCCTGACAATGGGGTCCCCTTTGTCGTGTGTTGCGCCATGTATTGGTTGGTGAATACCTATTTCACATATTCCCTCTTAGTACAAAACGATGACTGACATGGCGCGAATTGTATTGAATTATAAATACGTTGTAACAATTCACCATGAAGTGATAGAACGACGAACATACACACACAAATATACTAGACGCCAAAAGAAACGTTACCCTCCTACCTTTATGAATTACTGAAAAACTATGAAAGATATTTTAGAAGGTTTTAGTTTACAAGAAAGTTTAACAACACAGCTTTATGCAAATCACAAAAAACATTTTTCTCAAATGCATTCATATTTGGGTGAAATGCATCTTTTTCAGAAGAGTTAAAGTGTCCTATATTCGTCCATGCCGAAATAAACCAATAATAGTGATTTTGATGTCCAGAAGAAAGGTTGAAATAATCTTCTGCTTTGGGACAATGATAAACCATTTAAAGTCACCATTTTTCAACTATTAAAACAAGAAACAACTGTTGTAGAGTGTGTAAAATTGTAAAATAACCATTGCTAAGATTTCAGTCTTTTAAACATTGTCAGCTGATTTGCATTAGTGAAAACAAGTAAAACGTGTCTTTGATATTGTGAAAAAATGTTTAGGAACATCTACAATTATCTTTGTGAACATGTTTGCTTGCACAAAAAAACATTTTTCCATTTCCATTTTACACATAGCTATATCAGTCGCCAAAACGCAGCAATATTCAAACAGTATTTACATCCATTTCACATGCAGAATGATTCTATAGGGTATAAAGAGAGCCTAGAAGACATGATCTGATACACAAGTACGAGAAATATGCATGGGATGGTGCAGATGGGGTCGACATACAATGCTGTTGCCAACGTCCACGGATGCCACCGTATCACGAATATAAGATTTATTCAGGGCTTCAGACAGACTGGGATAACCGTAGACAGACCAAGAAGTGGATGTCCACGATCACAACGCCAGCTGAAGATAGGTACCTCCGTCATTAAGGAAGGAGGGTAACGTTTCTTTTGGCGTTTAGTGTACATATATGTATGACATATATAATTATGACAAAATAATTAGACATAAACTAATAAATCAACACACATGTGTAACGAAATTGTTTAATATAGAATGATATGTGTAGAATAACGCTTAGTCTCTTAAAATATATTATTTTGATAGAGTGAGTGAGTGAGTTTAGTTTTACGCCGCACTCAGCAATATTCTAGCTATATGGCGGCGGTCTGTAAATAATCGAGTCTGGACCAGACAGTCCAGTGATCAACAGCATGAGCATCGATCTGCGTATTTTGATAGAAACAAACAACTCCATTCGAACTGAAAAGGCAGTCTAAACCTGCTGAAAATCTAGACTTGCTTCAGACAGATCTTTAGCACTAAAATAGGTCTGGGTGGAAGGGATATGGTTCAAGGGCTGTGTCAAAGACTAAGATACGTGTGATACAGAGGGATAGATTAAAATATATGTATAACAAAATCATTTACCAAGAGTGAGTGTGGGTGTTTAGTTTTACGTCGCTTTTAGCCATATTCTAGCAACATCACGGCGGAGGACAAAAGAGTGAGTGTGGGTGTTTAGTTTTACGTCGCTTTTAGCCATATTCCAGCAATATCACAGTTTCACACAATGTACCCATGTGGGGAATCGAACCCGTGTCTTCGGTGTGACAAGCCAATGCTTTAACCTCCCAAACTCAAAACAGAATGATAGATGAACAGATATGTGACGGGTAAGTTTAACATGGTGGTTTAGATACAGATATGAATGACAGAATGATTCAGTACAGAATGACGGAATAACAGGTACGTGACGAAAGGGTTTAACTTGGAAGGTTATATAAACAGATATGTATGACAGAATGTTTCAGTACAGAATGACGGAATAACAGGTACGTGACGAAAGGGTTTAACTTGGAAGGTTATATAAACAGATATGTAAGACAGAATGTTTCAGTACAGAATGACGGAATAACAGGTACGTGACGAAAGGGTTTAACTTGGAAGGTTATATAAACAGATATGTATGACAGAATGTTTCAGTACAGAATGACGGAATAACAGGTACGTGACGAAAGGGTTTAACTTGGAAGGTTATATAAACAGATATGTATGACAGAATGTTTCAGTACAGAATGACGGAATAACAGGTACGTGACGAAAGGGTTTAACATGGAAGGTTATATAAACAGATATGTAAGACACAAATGTTTCAGTACAATCTGGCAACAAGTGATTAATAAACGATTATGTCCGACGACATCGATGTCTATGATTCCACGGTATTGGATTAACAAACCAAGCAAGTTTGTTTGCGTGTATACATAAACATACAATAAATAGGCCAATCCTTTGAGCGGATAATTAAACTGCGTTCCCTTGTGGAGCTGAACTGAAAGGATGCCATTGATTTCGTGCCTGTTGTCTACAGTGTTGTGTGTTAATGCTTAAACATGGAACCTGTGAACCTGTTATTATCGACGCTTTTATTGATTAGAAATTAATTCAAAGTGTGGATGTTTATGGGTTTGTGCGCAAACATATACTGAAAACAATACAGAAATGACTTGCTGAACCTATTCACAAAATGGCTACCACATCATGTGGTGATTGTTTTTAAGGTTATGATGGCAACTAGACAGAAGTGTTCTCAGATTAAAAGAACATTTAACTCCACATGGGTGAACGGATTTTCATCGTTCATGTAATGGTACTCAATTCTGACTGGTCCCTATAGAAATGCCACTTCTTTAGAAAAAACATCAAAGTTTTTACGCCGGTCTTCAGAAAATACATCAAAGTGAGGCTCTACCCGGGTTATGAAACAGTCCGAACATGGTCAATAAAACTGCTTCTGTTCTTCTTCTGCTAACATCATCGTATGACCAACATACGTATTTGTTTACAACTTGCTTATAATATGTATCGGGGTTTTCACATGCTTTCATTAAGGATTTCAGATCAAAGCAGACCGAAAGGGAAACAAAACAGAAACATCAGTAATAGATACCGGGTGTTCGTTCGATCTGGAATGCCTTTTCTAAGTTAACTCAAAAGTACTTGAAATTGTGAGTGAGTGAGTGTGTTGGGTTTAACAGTATTCCAGTTTTATCACGAGGAGGTGAGGAAATCCCAAAGTGAAGCAGCTCTCAGACCTTCACCACTTAGGGGAACCAACAAACGCACGTGCGGCGATGACAACCCCAGGTACGAACTCGTAACGAACCGTGATCGAACCAACCATCATACATTAGTTGTCTGACACAGCTATGGACAGCGACTTTGAATATTTATAAGGAATTGGTTATAGGCTTTCTCAAGCATTATTTAATTTTGCTTCGTAAAAAAGCGCTGCAAATACTTCAGCGAATATCACCACTTTGTCAAAGGTCCATAGTTTCTGGCTGCTGATAATTCACCACAGTTGATGAGGACACGTGGTTACTAACACAGAGGTCACATGATGTCTTAATCTTTAAACCCATGCAAGACACTATTGGCAATATTTAGTCCTCAACTGAGGGAGGCCTCATCTGTAATTCAGAAGAGAGCAAGGCCATCGTCAGCCTTTCACTGTGTGAAATGAACTGTTATTCCATAAATATGTAAATATTATTTCATAAACATGTAGAAAACACTTTAAAATAAGCACATAAACATAAAAAATTAACACCAGAGTGAAATCCAATTCCTTGCCAATATTCGTCCAATGGCAGTAAGGAATATCCAGCATGGCACCGATGATGGTAAAGATGATGGTCTGTCTCCCTGATGGTCACATAAGAAGATTGTCAGAGTAATTTTGTGACAGCATGGAAGTCCTTGACCTGAGCCAATACGTTGTCATCACGCCCTTTCCCTGCAACAATAGCAGTAAAGAAACAACTATGGGGGTGAGGAGAATATCAGCTAGAATGATCTGTAAGTTTATGCTTTAAAGACACTATTTCACATCACACTTCTCTAAGAATAAATAATGCATTTCTCTCAATAATACCATGAGCCCTCAGGGAAGCTACCATATAATTTATTCCCCCCACAAATTACGTGTTCAGATTACAATATTGAATTAAACAGTTCCAATAAATTAATGCAACGTTGCATTAAATCGACTTTTGCGCCCTCTACCGGCCGAACATTATTTCAAGCGAACTCCATAGAGTTATGTCCCTTGGAGCGTTCTCGGTGAATATCCCAAAACTCCTTTGGACACAGAACTCAGTCCCAGACAAAAACATACGCGCAACTAGTAACTGAAACCAGTTCGGCAAACACCGACAAAACCGCCTACGACAGTTCTTGATGTGCGGAGCAATTGTTTACTTTCTATATATGTCAAGTGTTTTCTGTTTGGAAGTTGTTCGCCTCGAAGTTTCAATTATCGATTTTAGACAAGTCGTAAGGAATAATAAGTCTTTTATTGCATCAATAGGAACCTAAAGTGAGTGCATATGCCCCAATATATATATAACATAGGCCAAAATATTGTCGAAGAAATGTGTGAAAATGTGCCTTTAAAGTCTGCTCCTCCATTGGATCTCAGAAAGGACATCGGTCACAAGCCAGCTAATAGGAGATATCAACTGAAAGGATCGTTTGTTACGTGCTTCAAAATATGTTCAACTATGGAATTACAGAAGGGACATCGTCGCGTTGATTTCGATCGCGCCCATTCGACAACGGACACATTTTGACTTTGTCGCATTTGTCGCCCTTTGGTAAAGGTAAACATTATGACAAATAATATTTCGACAAATTGTCAAAACACCGTTTTATTCGCATATCTCTCATTCCTTTCATTCTTTCTACCCGAGACGATACAGATCAGAAGTAATCTTCAGCAACCCATGCTCGTCGTCAGAGGTAGCTAACGAGATGGAGTGGTCAGACTCGCTGACTTGGTTGACACATGTCATCGTATCTCAATTCCGTTGATCGATGTTCATGATGTCAGTCATTGGACTACATGATGCAATCTCAGTTTACGTGATAGATCTGGAATATTGCTGAATGCGGCTTGAAACAACAAACAAACAAATCAGTTACCTTTACTTCAAGTGCACCTCTAAGGCTGATGTCAAACCCTCCTTGGACAAGCAATGCTTTTTTGTGTTGATTCAGTAATCTGGATGTGAAGAGCTGGAAGAAAGTGACAACATCATTTATACTGCAAAGGTGGTAAGAATGAATGGGACAAACCACGACAACACTGGACCTTTTCCTGCCCCATAAGACCCCCCCCCCCCCCCACCACACACACACACACACACACAAACACACACGTCATCGTATCTCAATTGCGTAGATCGATGTTCATGCTGTTGTTCACTGGATTGTTTGGTCCAGACTCCAATATAATTTACAGACCACCCCATACAGCTGGAATATTGCTGAGTGCCGCGTAAAACTACAAACAAACCTCCCAACCTTATTAAGTCCCATGCAACGTGATAAAATAATATGAAAGGTATTGTTCGTTTTCTCCATGCTGATATATTTGTTCAGCTAACAAAACACTGAAGTAGGCGTGAAGAGTTTCTCGTCAAAGTTTTATTATCTGAATCAATTGTGTCAGTGAACATCAGTCAATGTGTATATTCAGCAGACAAATATCTGTGTGTTTTTTCTTTGAACACACGCTGCTCCTATCGTCGACCGTACTTTTCTCATCTGTGATGGAGTAATGCAATTGCTCGGTAAATAGGTTTTGTTGAGATTTGTAATCTTCTTGTCTTTCATCTTCCGCCGTCTTTATAATTATCACCAGTCTTAGCAGACGGTTTGGCCAAACATTTTTCTGTAGTTACTGGGATCATTTTCCGTTATAGAATAAGCCATGCGAAGTCAATGCAACCTGACGTGTTTTTATGTAGAGTTTATGAAGCTACACGTTGCATGAAATGGTTTTGTCTGGTGACGTGTGGTCATGTGCATAGAGCTCAGGTCACAAGTCAGTTGTAGTTAAGCAACTTTGGGCGCGGAAAGTCTTTGGCTTAGTCTAAAAACTAGTATCTGAAATGAACATATTTTACATAATAAAAAAAAGATCAATGAAATTTTCTTCATTTTGAGAAACTGGAAATTTAGACTTGCCACATATTCTAGACTTGCATGGACTTTCTTGTATATATTTGTTTCTGTATGGCAAGACTATCTTTGGCTAGGTGACCGTGGTTTGGCAGCTTGACTCCTGAGAGTTTCTAGAACTTCCGTCCTGCCCCACAACGAAGCACATGTGATGCACGTGGTCACAACTTAATCAAGTGAGATTGTTCAAAATTGCCTCTGTTCACCCAGCAGAAACATGGGTACCCGGTGAGATAAGTCATGTGACTATAACCTTCCAGTGCCTCACAGGCAGCTTGGGTTATCCGGGTAATAATGAACTGTCTGCTCTATGAGCATGGGATTCATATTCGGATGAAACGTATACACAGACATCAAAGAACTTCCAGACTATCGATCGTTGTCCCAACAAAACGTTTCTTTTCACGGCTAGATGTGTAAAATGAGTTTGTTTGCACACTGCACATCTTCGTTTAAGTTGACGATAACAATGGAGATTTTGTTGATAACGTCTTTCTTTTCGTAAGTGCGACGTTTCGACAAAGGTTATTGTACGGTTGTATAATTCCGCGCAAGACAACGGCACAAGAATGTGTTATCCATAAAATGAGTCAATATTGTGCGTTTCAACCGGGTTTGATTCAACACAGTGGTACAATGTATTATCCCATTTCTGGTGCCCCCCGTTGTGATACTGCTGAAATATTTGATAAAGCGGCGTAAAACCAAAGTCAATCACTCACACAAAATCTGGGGATTTCATACCAACAAGTCCAAGACATGACAAATAAAACAAAGATGGTTTGGTTCGTCTAAAAACAGAACTTAAAAGGATATCAGAAAGCTTTGACAGCAAGTCAAAACATTGATTACACAACAGTCTCGTTTCCTGTTGACTGGGTCCCGTCCTATTGCGCAACTTAGTACAATAACCAGTCCAGAATTGTGACCAATTCATTTACTGGATACATTATTATTAATCAGTATTATTTGATACATCTAAGCACTTGTATATTGCAACACTACGCTCCTTCTAATCCTTGGAAACACGTCCTGCAGCGTGCTCTGTCGCACAGCGAGCTCTGACAAACGGAAACCTGGAAATCGTGGAAATCTCAAAACGAGTCTCTCCCGCTAGAAACGTTTGGATATTGTATGAATCACGTGCGTTACAGAACTACATTGAATAAGCGCGAAAAACACATAACAGGTGTAACTAGTGAGACAGATGCATTGTGAATCATTATACTACCCCATCAAACAGGGGCAGTCTGTGACGTCTTAGTTAAAGGTAATGTTGCCTACACCTCACCATAAAATATAGAAATACGGTGTGAGTAAAGTTTGAAATTAAAATTCATTTGTAAGTACCATTTTCTTATGAAACAAAGAATTGGAATTCAGTGTAACCATAGTTGACATAGTTCACTTTGACACGAAACAATTCGGATCGGCTGAAAAGTAGGTCATAGTCTGAATTACTAATGTGACCCATGTTTCGGGTTGTTCAATTACATATACTGAGAGAAACAAATAAAGGAACACAGGAAAATGCAAGTGTTCCTTTAATATTTTCCAGTTCTCATCACTAGCTTTGAACAGCGCTATGGGGGAAAGTCTGAGAATTCAAAAAGGGACACTGCCATGAGGTGGTGTTCCCTTATTTGTTTCCCTCAGTATATAAGCGATCAGTCTGTGACTTTATGAACAGACGGTATCCCTGACTTAAGTAGAACTGGGCAGGAAATTGAAAACACAATCGGTGTTTCTCGGACTACATTAATTATTGCTATTCACGAAATGGGATTTGAATAACTACACGTGATGATGACCTACTTTTCTTGGGGAATTGTTCCACTCTGTCAATGAGGTCACATGATCTGTCCACCAGTCCCGGCCAGTCCCAGACATTTCCGGATCATTTATGTTAAAGAAAACTTGGCCAATAGGATCGTTACACTGACTACACATGGCTACCGTCCGACAGTCGAAGATGTCCTATGGTACCATCAGGTAAAGGATATTGTGTCAATATTTTGCACCCCGTGACCCGTGAGCTGTGGTTCATTGAAGGGTGTGAAACTGGGTGATTATAAAGGGAAATAATCACAGTTAACACGTTATTACATTGTTGAACATAAATTTTGATTTAATTCCATGAACCTTTTCATGTATAATGAGTGCGTGAGTTTAGTTTTACGCCGCTTTTAGAAATATTCCAGCAATATCACGGCGGGGGACACCAGATTTGGGCTTTACATGTTGTACCATTGTCGGGGATCGAACTCGGGTCTTCGCCGTGACAGTTGACCGCTTTAACCACAAGGCTACCCACCGGACCCCTTCGTTTTTTAAACGAACACTGAGATGTTATCAAAATGTTGTACAAACAAAATGATGTTTAAATGTTGCTTCACGCATTGTACCAAGGTGGAGAATCGAACCCGAGTCTTCGGCTTGACGAACGAACGCTTTAACCACTAGGCTACTTCACCGCCCCAACAACAGTTAGGAGACTGCAGCCTGTGAACATGCTATATTCGGTATTTAAAGGCGACGATTGGAATTAGGAAAACACAGACTCACACACCAGAAACACGCAACACAAATAAACAAACAACATGTGTTCGAACGGGCCTGCTTACACCACTGAATAATAGATAATAGTCTTTGAACATATATGAACTTGTTCTAAATGAGTTATACCCTTGTTTGCTCAAACGCATTAACGCAAGATTAATTGGAAAGAGCAGGCGACGACAGACAACCAACGCCGGGGATAATACAACCTTTGCTGAGGACCTCAATACTTTCTACAGCCGCTTTGATTGTCACGACTTTACCAATGAGAGGGCTCAAGTTAGTGAAGCCGTACAGGATAGTGAAAATCGTATCCATTTATCGGAATAAACATCAGAAAAGCAAAAGGACCTGACAACCTTGACGGCATTGTGTTGAAGGAGTGCAGACTTCAACTGTGTACAGTTTTCACTAGATTGTTTCAATTCTCAGTGAATACACACGTTATTTCTTCGGTCTGGAAAACATAAGAAATTGTACCAGTTCCTAAAAAGACACAACCTAAAGAACTCAACGACTACAGGCCAGTTGCTCTCACATCTATATAGCAATGAAGTCGCTGGAACGCATCTTGTTGAGACATCTCCGTCAGGAAGTTGCCGACATTCTGGACCCGCTTCAGTTCGCCTACAGGTCAAGGAGAGGAGTTGTTGATGCCACACTGTCACTCCTTAATAATGTCTATAAACATCTAGAGACACCTAAGTCATACATCAGGATCCTCTTCGTTGACTTTTCATCTGCGTTCAACACTATCCAGCCACATATCATGATACAGAAACTGTTAGACATGGGCGTTAACTCATACCTCATCAAGTGGATCGAAAACTTTCTTGTGGACAGACAGCAGTACGTGAAAGTTAACGGGGCTGTATCGAGTAAACGGACCACCAACATTGGTGCACCACAAGGCTGTGTAATATCTCCAGTTCGTTTCACCCTCTACACTATTGATTGTGCAAGCACGAATTCAACCTGTTCAACTGTGAAGTTCGCAGATGATGCAGCAATTGTCGGCAAACTGAACGACACTGATTCTGAAGAACTGTATAAAGAGGACATTAATCATTTTACGACTTGGTGTGCAGAAAACCTCTTACTCTTAAATGTCACAAAAACAAAGGAACTGATAATTGACTTTCGGAGTAAACTCACAGAAATGCTTCCAGTGCTAATCAACGGTGAATGTGTTGAGACAGTGTCGGAGTATAAGTATCTGGGAACCTTCATTGACTCTAAGCTGAACTGGAGCTCTAACACTGAAGCCCTATACAAAAAGTGTCAACAACGACTTCATCTCATGCGTAAACTGAGATCTTTTAATGTTAACCCATCTGTGATGTCATCTTTTTATGTAGCATTTATTCAGAGTATTTTAACATTTTCCTTCCATTGTTGGTACGGGTCTCTCTCAGTTCATCTCAAATCTAAAATAGACAAAATTGTTAACACTGCAAGTAAAATCGCTGGAGTCAGATTTGAATGTTTATCATCAATATATGAGCGGCAAATCCCGAATCAAGCTGTCAAAATCATATCTGACCGTACTCACTACTTAAATTCGGAATACAACCTCCTCCCTTCAGGCCGCCGCTACAAAGTTCATATTGTGAAAACTAAGAGAGCCCGTACATCCTTTATTCAAAGTACCATATCTCTCTTAAACAAATGTGAAGATACCTAAATCAAAGAATTTATGTAAATATGTTTGGTATCTCTCTGATGTGTCAGTAGCTCTGATGATGTAACACAAATTCCTGAAAAGGCATTAAAGTATTATTCTATTCTATTGCATTGAAGGTGAAGGTCAGAAACCAAAGTGTATACAAATATTGGCACTGAATATTTTTAGAAAAAAATGGAATGTGACACGCTGCTGATCGATGTGAAAATCTGTTACATCACGCAACGAGTCTTTGCTAAGAATCTATTTGAATTATTATTTCTTTGGGGATGTTTACTTCTTTCTGACTTGGCAGCTCTGCAACTTGCTTTCAGTGTCTCTCGTATACAGAGCCGTAATTTATTCGCATTGTATTTTTTATGGTCGAATGAAGATTAACATTCCGTTCACCAATAAATATATTTCACAGCTATCAGTGGTCATATAAAACATCTCCCGTAAGCACATTGATCGGTGTGTCGGCAAGCATGATTAGCCCAATTGATGGCAGTTGTAGTTATGTTAGTATGAATAATACATTAGTGTGGCAGCGTTTGTGGGAAAAAAACATCGGTGAGTAAGCAAAAAATATCTGGATAAGACTGGATTGAAGATAATCGCGATCAATGAAACCCCAGCTAATGTTTGGTTGGGTGGAGCGAGAAACTGTCAGGTTAGTACTCCATTAATGGCCAGTCAGAAGTATCAAATCACATTAACCAGCTCTGATTGAAACAGATTGAGTGAGTGAGTGAGTTTAGTTTTATGCCGCATTAAGCAATATTCCAGCAATATCACGGCGGGGGACACCAGAAATGGGCTTCACACATTGTACCCATGTAGGGAATCGAATCCGGGTCTTCGGCGTGACAAGCGAACGCTTTAACCACTAGGCTACCCCACCGCCCCGATTGAAACAGAGGAGTTGGTTATTGCAGTAACATATATTTATAGAATAGCTATTCTTCTGAGGCATTGCCGGCAGACATTCATAGAATAATATGTATTCCTAATAAGGTTACACATTCAGGGAGGAGGTCACAAGAATATTCAGAATATGGACGGAACAGTGTCAGCTGTTTGGCAGAAAATACGACAGAAATCGACACATAGAATGTATATCAAGTCTTTCTTGGACAGAAGTGAACTTGAAAATTGATGCGTCTTTACATCGTTTGTGTCCTATCCTTGTGCGAAACCTGACTTATTTCATTGGGGATGTTCATTTTGTTCTGACTTCGGGGGTTTCTCTGCTAAGTGCTCTCATTGTGTAATATTCCGTGGGCCTTTAATGAAATACTTTAATCGACCCTTTCTAATCTAGCGTGCCATCATTGTATTGAAAAATGCGGCCTAAAACTAAATTCACTCATAAAAGCTAGGAAGCCATCTTTGTACTTACGCAGACTGGTTGATTCCATTCTGGACGCTGTGTTGACTGTGTCCCCGAATAGACAGTATCTAGGCATCTTCGTACCCACAACGCCAGCCACAACTGGTCCTGGTTGAGAAGAAATATCAAATGTTTTATCTTCAAAATCATTCGATGAATAACAATGTCAAAACGAAGATTAAAAATGACAATAATGGGTAGAAATACGTGGACTTGGCTTACAAAATGTCCCGCTGACCAAGTTTCCGACACCCCATTGTTCGTGGTGGGGTAGCCTAGTGGTTAAAGCTTTCGCTCGTCACGCCGAAGACCCGGGTTCGACTTCCCAAATGGGTACAATGTGTAAAGCCCATTTCTGGTGTCCCCCGCAAAGGTATTGCTGGAATATTGCTAACAGCGGCGTAAAACTAAAAACTCAACTTATTGTTCTTAATGTCTTAGGTTCGGTACCTCCCAATCCTTTGACTAACATTGAGAGATTACCGGGGTCTGCTGCCAGGAACACAGCCCTTCTGAAACTCTGGGTAACACAGAAAGCTGCAAACTAAAAAATACGTCTGGGTGGGTTCGACAAGGCAGCGCTTCCTGGGAGAAGTCCCATTCGCTGTCTGGGCTACGTGTAAAGGCCCCAAGGCCCTAATCTGATGATGAGCCTGACGGTGCCGATATCACCCGACCCTTCTCTGCATCTCAGCTTAAGCTGAAGCCAAAACCTAAACCAAAAGGTGCCTAGATCACCCGAACCCACGATCTGAAATTTGGTACACAGCAAAGGTGACTGTAATAAGAAATTATTATCGGGTGGTCAGGCTCGCTGGCTTGGTTGACAAATGTCATCGGTTCCCAATTGCGCAGATCGATGTTCATGCTGGTAATCACTGGATTGTCTGGGTCCAGACTCGATTACTTACAGACCGCCGCCATATAGCTGGAATATTGCTGGGTGACCACCCGCTCAGTTAACCGACCAGAGATAGGTGCTGTAGGGGCAGTGAGTGAATTTAGTTTTACACCGTACGTAGAGAAAATGAACAATAGCTTGCATATTATTTTATCACGTTGCTTGGTTTGTTTGTTGTTTTACGCCGCACTCAGCAATATTCTAGCAATATGGCGGCGATCTGTAGATGATCGAGTCTGGACCAGACAACCCAGTGATCATCAGCATGAGCATCGATCTACGCACTTGGGATACGATGACATGTGTCAACCAAGTCAGCGAGCCTGACCACCCGATCCCGTTAGTCGTCTCTTACAACAAGCATGGGTTACTGAAGATCAATTCTAACCCGGATCTTCACGGGTTGCTGTTGGAGGAATGGACAAGACTGTCATCGAGGAATTGAATGGGACCGTGCCATGCCTCATAAAGGATTGCTTGTCAAATCCTAGGGCATGGCACCTTATCAATCGAATCATCTCAAACGTTCATGTTTGAGTGCACCCCCTGTGGTCTTCCTTGTTTTTTTTGCACCCTCACAATAAACTACCAACATATTCTGTTTCATGTTCTGTTCTGTTTCATGTTTTGTTCTGTTTCATGTACATCTCCTCATCACTTATCGCATCCAACCATAACCCTCACTCGATACCTTTTTGTGTCTGTTCTTCTCGAATATCCCCTCCTTTCCTTGGAGGGTATACATAACAAAACACATAAATATGTATCATAAATGAAACGTTAGAGGAAACCCCTGTCACACATCCTGCTCAATACAGGAATAATTATCTCCATCACTATCGTGACATCTCGCCATCAGTACTGCTTTCCCGGCATATTACCAATCCACCACTGCGATACAACTGCTCCTCGCTAAGTAGGTTTTCATGTTGTCCAGAAAATGGAAGCACGATCTTGTCAATGGAGAGGACACTAAACCATAGGTGATAATGGACTTCATGATGTGGAGAGCACCCTATCATGAATTGTAAAGTAGTTATTGACCAATAAATTGTTGACAATCCTTATCTGATGGCTCACTGAGGCATTAACCAAGGCAACAAGGCGTTAGTTGATGGCATCGTATTCGAAAGTAACTGCATTTGAGATTCTTGAGAGGCATTTTGAAGTTGGTGACTGGTATATAGATGGCAACTTCTTCTTTATTGTATAACACATTCAATCTCAGTTGGTCTCGAGTGGAGATTTTCAGAAATAACCATGCGGACAATGCAAAATGACCATGCTGTGTGTTTCACAACGGTGGTAAATATTTACATCCTACGTCACAGTGAGACCACATTAACATTATATAACGTTTCATAGCAAACCCATTCGCATCCCGTCACAATATATACACAAAGAACCACCCCCTTGTACTTTTGCAATGATAGGTTTTCAACACATACATAAAACTTCTCGTGGTCACCACGAGTTTTTCTGACCCGTATGATCCTTTGACTCATAAAAAAGACAAAATTGATGATAATTGCTCATTTTTAAAACAAAATACCCAAATGATTTTCATACAAAACCATGTCTGTACATTAGGTAATGAACACCCACAAAATGCAAGCTGCAGCCTTTACCACCTTTGGCCGTGTACACCCGAGAGCAATGTCCTCAGATTGCCTGGTCCAGATTCGATTATTTACAGACTGACGGCATATAGGTGGAATATTGCTAAACTCACTCATTCACGCATTGTCCAGAAGCAATAGTAGCCCTTATGGCAGCTTTCAATAAGCTTTTCCTTGATAACTTCCCTCAAACTCACTCATTCACGCATTGTCCAGAAGCATTAGTAGCCCTTATGGCAGCTTTCAATAAGCTTTTCCTTGATAACTTCCCTCAAACTCACTCATTCACGCATTGTACAGAAGCAATAGTAACCCTTATGGCAGCTTTCAATAAGCTTTTCCTTGATAACTTCCCTCAAACTCACTCATTCACGCATTGTACAGAAGCAATAGTAGCCCTTATCACAGCTTTCAATAAGGTTTCCTTGATAACTTTCCTCAAATGACGGAGTTCTGTAGGATAATAAAGCTCACTGAAGTAGCATCCATTACGAAAATTTCCTCTTCTGACCAAGAAGACCAAACCCATCCCGCTGGTACCACTGTGGTAGGTGTAAGGTCAAATAATCCTGCCATCGTTTACGCAAGATCAAAGTGATGGGCTGGCTTAACCTTATCCTCTATTTCATTTCAAGAATAATGAAAATGATGTTGTTCAAATTCTCATAAACGGCACTTGAAGTATTCAACATCATCAGCATCGATATACGCATTTTGGATTGCTCTTTACGCCCTATGGACTATGTTTCGGCGACTGGGTATTATTTCACGTTTATATAGTGCCAACAAAAAAAAGCGGGTAAGATTATTTTTAGAAACTAAAATTTAGAACTTTAAACACGTCTTGACATTGATGCTGTCCGCTATAAACGTTTTGACAAGAAATTCTTGTTGCCTAGATGAGAGACAAGCGTACATGAGTAAGTGAGTTTGGTTCAACGCCACTCAACCTCACGGCGTGTCAAATATGGGATAAAAACCCGAAGTAATGCAGGTTTCAGGCTCTCATTTGGGAGACATAATCAGAACGAGCCGGGATTTGAACTCAACATGAATATAACGTCATATTCAGATATTGGGTATCCCGAATAGGAAAACATAGGTTTGACAAACTTGGCTGAACGCTTAACTCGAACATTGCTACCTATCTGAAACACCACGAATCAAATATGGGCGAAGTTCGAAGCGCTTAACGGATCCTGTTACGACAAACACTCCGCTGCATTTCAACTCACACCACCGGGTAAAATCTTCCAGACAGAATTTATTATATTCGTATTACCTGAATTCAAACCGATCCTTAGTCGTAAAGATTCCTCCGGAAGATGGGGAATGGTGAGCCTCGATATGGTGTCTAGTAAATCCAAAGCGAGGCAGGCTATCTCAGACGCATGCCTCTCCCCATTTCTAACAGGGAGTCCGGAAACCACCATATAAGCATCCCCTGTAAAAAAGAAGGTTCAAAGTATTAGCTAAAGCTAAAGATATATGGTATTTGTAGGTGCATATGTAAAGTATACTAACAGTTGGGGACCGGCCATTGGATATTCTGCTGTACCTCATACTTTGGTCATACCCGCGAACCTAGGTTTCTGGCGAGTCCAAGGGACGCAACAGTGCACAGCGAATTAAGGCATCATTGTGGTTCATCCATGCGTCGTACAACATGAACTATAAAATTAACGCATCTCTATACGGCGATGAGTATTGTTTGCCTGGAAACGAACCCCTGGCGCTAGGCCAAAAAGTTATCCCGTCAAGCCAAAGTCTGGGTTCGATTCCCAACATTGGTACAATGCGTGAAGCCCAGTTCCTTTCGCCGTCGTGATGTTTTCATGTTGTTAAAAGCGAGCAAATATCCAACTCACTTAGCCTACCTGTTCACGAATCAGACAATGTATAATTTTCTGTTGTATTTCGCAATTCTTCTGTACCATGGAATACCAGGAAAAGGATATTGACTACTCAGTTAAGTGTTGAATATGTCTGGGTTTGGCAATGAGTGAGTTGGGTTTAAAACTGCTTTAAAAAACCTTTGCAGGTTTACCACGGTAGGGCAGCTGTCTATGGTTGGACAGATCAGGGTGTTGGCAGATTCATGGCTTATAGTCGCTACGAAACTGTGATCTGAACCCACGATAAGCGGATCCTGGTACAGTTAAACTCAGACCTCTACGCAGCCCGTATCCCTTTCTTGCTTCCCGGGGGGCGGTGGGGTAGCCAAGTGGTTAAAGCGTTCGCTCGTCACGCCGAAGACCCGGGTTCGATTCCCCACATGGGTGCAGTGTGTGAAGTCCATTTCTGGTGTCCCCTGCCGTGATATTGCTGGAATATTGCTAAAAGCGGGGTAAAACTAACCTCATTCACTCATGCTTCCCGGACTGATCTACTGATCTTCCCACCCTGTGAATTACAGGTACATTCAGTCGAACATACCCACCTATTGTTTCCACCTTGTACACGTCGTATAACTCGAGCTGCTTGTCAAATGCTTGGTAAAGCATGTTCAACATATCCACCACTTGCATTGGGCTGCTCTTGGACGATATCACAGTGAATCCAACAATATCTGAGAAATAGATCGTCACATTACCGTAGGATTCCGGTTCAATAGGTTCTTGGTTTATCATTTTCTTTGCAACTGTCACCGGAAGTAGTTCATACAAGAGCGTCTGGCTGCGCCTGCGCTCTTTATCCAAGTCTCGTGTTTTCTCGCGGAGTGTCGTGGCGTAGTCTTGTATGCGACATGTGAGTCGATATATGCAGAAAACAACGAATGGAGTCAACAAAATGGCAAATACCATCACAAGAATCATTCCGGTTAAAGCTTCCCTTAAGTCCTGTATTTGCTGGTCAAGACGAAGAACTATTTTCGAAGACAAAGAATCTTCTATATACTTCAGAATATTGATCAATAACGTCATATTTCCAAACCAGTCCGAACCGGCTTCGACTGATGCAATGCTTTCGTTGTTGTTTTCAATTCTCTTTCGGTCCTCGGTGATAATAGCTTCCAATTCAGTGTTGGAATAATTTTTAGCGAGAACAGATTTTGGAAGGCTGTCGTATTCCATGCAGCGGTCAAGGTAGTTGGCCCCAAGTATTTTCCTTGACATATAACCAAGAAGATCAGTCTGGTTGAAACCACCTGAAATGGAACATTATTTGTCACATCAAGTTTAAAGAAAATTCCCGCTCTTTCCCAGGTGTTTTAAATATTGAAAAATTATGAAATTATAGATAACACTATTAACAGATATCGATATCATATAAGTGTTGATTTATGAGTTCAATGACATCAATTACATATATCAGGATTGAATATTTGCAGGGGGCTAATATAATCTGGGCCATTTAGATATCGTGTAATGGGACTGTTTTGACGGCAGCTGAACCCGGAATTCCCTCACTCACGGACATGTGGCCAGTAAATAGTCTTTCATTACGCCTGCGTGTCATGAAGGTACTTGTGAGTGAGTGAGTATGGTTTGACGCTGCTTTTAGCAATATTCCAGCAACATCACGGCGGGGCACATAAGAAATTGGCTTCACACATTGTACCCATCTTGGGAATCGAACCCGGGTCTTTAGCGTGACGAGCGAACGCTTTAACCTTTTTCATGCCAATGTTCTCATAGCCAATGTTCCCATATGGGAACATGTCATAACATGCTTTGTAACTTTTTATGCGTGAAGATAAATTAATGTTTTTGGTCCATATTGATCTTCAGATAATTGCCAATGTTCTAACATTTCAAAATCATCCTTTTAATTTTTTTAAAAGAATTGATGAGGGTCCAAAAATGCCCCCAAAACGTGTTTTCAACCGAAAACGTTCTCTAAAAACACTGACAAATATAATTGCATTATTTTAAAACTTTTTTCACGTGTCCTTATAAACTAAGGATGTAGGTATAAAATAGCAAAGGTAAATGTATAATGGTAGCAGGAATTAAGGTCAAAATTTTTAATTGAAGTTAAATGTTCCCATATGGGAACATTGACAGGATCATCTTTAAAATCAATACATTCACATAAACTGCAGGAAAAGATGAGAAAAACACAGAATGGTCAGTTCAATTCTTCATTTCGAATGATATATCTTGTCCTTTTTGATAAAACCAATGAATTTATTTATGTTATTGAATTTTCTGTCCCTTTTGACAGCAATGTGATTGGCAAGAATCAGGAAATGCATGCTAAATATGCGGACCTCGCCTTTGAGATGTCCTGCTTGCATCCCAAGTACACCGTCGTCAGGCCCCCCATTGTTCTTGGTGCCCTTGGTTTGGTACCGGGTTCTCCACCGGGAGCACAGCCCTTCTGACACTCTGGGTAATGCAGAAGGCTGCAGTGTTGGGGAGTCTATACACTACAGTCCGTTTGAGTCAGAAACGGACCGATGAATTGCAAATTTTATCATTGTACAAAATTGCCACATAAATATAAATAGTACACATGTTTAGCATTTACTAATACCAAACAGCTTTCTGATATTTGAAAATGTTCCGGACTCCACCAAAAAAGTTGTTTAAGAAACTATCATAATTGAAAACGCAAAAGTTGTTATCTGTCGCGGAGGGGTGAAACCGCAGACACGGAACAGCCACTATCTCGTCGTGCACGGGATACACATGTCTGATGAAAAATGAAGTTGAATGCTGACGTGAAACAGTTGATGATTAAAGTGTACGATTTTTTCCGTGCTGAAGCCGAAAGGGGCAAACCATTTTATGCCATTAATAAATTCCGTAAGCGGGCAGCAATAGCTTTAGGAGTATCAGCAAGGGTACTGACAGATGTTCTGGAACACAAACATTGTGAGGGTGATGCGAAGCAGGTAGGGGTCGTGTCAAAATCACACAAATTAAAACATTTGGACAACTTTCAAAAGAACCTTGTAAGGCAGTCTATCAACAAGCTCTATTCTGAAAACAAATACATGTCGCTGAAATTTTTTAAAAAGCATTTGAAGCAAGAACACAACCTCAGAGTATCAAAGTACACACTCTGGCGACTCTTACACTCTTTCGGGTGTCGTTATAAGAACATTTCGGGGGAGAACAGGTCAGTACTCTGTGAATGCCCTGATATCGTTCGCTTGAGAAATAATTTTCTCAGGGTTATAAAGAAGAAGCGCGAGGAAGGTTTCGAGCCAGTGTACTTGGACGAGACCTGGGTCAAAGCCTCGCACACTGCCAGTAGTCGGTGGGTACCCGATGGGGGTGATAAGGGGTCACGTAGAAAGCGGCCTCTAGGGAAAGGAGAGAGACTAATCATTCTCCATGCTGGTTGCTCCAGCAAAGGCTTTCTCCCAGGCTGCGACTTGGTATTCAGGGCAAAGTCCACAGATAACAGAGACTACCATTCCGAGATGAATGGTGCGGTTTTCCTCGATTGGGTTAAAAACAAGTTGGTACCAGCTCTACCAGAGAAGCCTTTTATCGTAATGGACAATGCCCCATACCACAGCGTGCAGGACCCCGACAGTAAAGCCCCGACATCGAACAGTCGAAAAGGTGATATGATATTATGGCTCAACAAATTTCAGATCGCACGGCCTTCAAAGGCAACGAATCCTCAGCTATATGAGATCATAAAAACCCACAAAGGTGAACCTTTCTACAAAGTTGAGTGTTACAGGGTAAGGGTCACGAAATTCTGCGACTTCCACCCTATCACTGTGACCTTAACCCCACTGAAATGATATGGGGTATTGTCAAAGGAGATGTTGCCAGATCAAACACAACTTTTAGATTACGTGACGTAGAGGTTTTGGTTAAGGAATCCCTTAACAAAATCACGACTGAAACTTGGCAAAACTGTGTCAACAAAGTAGCTAACGTCATTGAACAAGGTTACTGGTCTCGGGATGGCTTACAACAGGCAACTGTGGCACCACTTGTCATCCCTTTAAGTCGCGACTATGACACTACGACAGACGAGGAACCGACAGGTCTCACGGAATAGATTTTGAGATGTCCCCCGCAAAGACTGTCTGTTCCGTGTCTGCGGTTTCACCCCGCCGCGACAGATAACAACTTTTGCTTTTTCAATCATGATAGTTTCTTAAACAACTTTTTTGGTGGAGTCCGGTAAATTTTCAAATATCAGAAAGCTGTTGGGTATTAGTAAATGATAAACATGTGTACTATTTATATTTATGTGGCAATTTTGTACAATGATAAAATTTGCAATTCATCGGTCCGTTTCTGACTCAAACGGACTGTAGACGCCAAAAGAAACGTTACCCTCCTACCTTTATGAATTACTGAAAAACTATGAAAGATATTTTAGAAGGTTTTAGTTTACAAGAAAGCTTAACTCCACAGCTTTATGCAAATCACGAAAAAAAAATCTCAAATGCATTCATATTTGGGTGAAATGCATCTTTTTCAGAAGAGTTAAATTGTCCTATATTCGTCCATGACGAAATAAACCAGTAATAGTGATTTTGATGTCCAAAGAAAGGAAATAATCTTCTGCTTTGGGACAATGATAAACCATTTAAAGTCACCATTTTTCAACTATTAAAACAAGAAACAACTGTTGTAGAGTGTGTAAAATTGTAAAATAAACAATGCTATGATTCCAGTCTTTTAAAACATTGTCAGCTGATTTGCATGAGTGAAAACAAGTAAAACGTGTCTTTGATATTGTGAAAAAATGTTTAGGAACATCTACAATTATCTTTGTTAACCTATTTTGCTTTCAAAGTAACATTTTTCCATTTCCATTTTACACATAGCAATATCAATCGCCAAAACGCAGCAATATTCAAACAGTATTTGCATCCATTTAACATGTAGAATGATTCTATAGGGTATAAAGAGAGCCTAGAAGACATGATCTGATACACAAGTACGAGAAATATGCCACGATTAACAGCTGAAGGGAGAGAAAGGGCCATTGGGATGGTGCAGATGGGGTCGACATACAATGCTGTTGCCAACGTCCACGGATGCCACCGGGGCCCTGAGCTGATGATGAGCCTTACCAGCCTGACTGTGCCATGATCACCCGAACCCGTTCTGATGCGTACTATTTTTAATTTGTAAAACATAATAATAAATAAATATTTTTCTATAGCGCCTAACTTCCATCCATTAAGGTTGCTCAGTGGCACTTTGTACAGGAGATATAAAATAAATTCATTCAGAATAGCTAGTCAAAGGCTTGCTTGAAGAGGTGTGTCTTTAAGAGTCTTAACATGAGGTTTGTCGGAGACAGTCCATATAGGAAGAGATAGATCTTTCCACAGTAGAGGAGCTGAGGTAGAGAAGGCTCGATCACCCATTGATGATTTCATGACTGGGACTGACAGTCGAAGATGGGCAACAGAACGGAGAGTAAGGGTTGGTTGGTATAAACTGACAAGACTTCTGAGATAGTGACACGATGATTCATCATAGATACAGTTTTCGGCTGGAAGAAGTATCTTGTACTGAATCCTGAAATTCACGGGCAGCCAGTGGAGGGCCTTTAGGTGTTAAATGCTCAGTTTGCGGCGTGCGTGATAAACAAACCCTTGCTGCTGCAACCTGGATTCGCTGTAACTTTGTGATCAGAGATGAAGGAATATGGAAGAAAAGGGAATTATCCAAGGGAGTAATCCAGTCGTGATGTGATGAGAGTCTGCATAGGAAGTTTGTCGTTTCAAGGCCAAGAACATGGCGGATTTTACTGATGTTGTGAATGTAGAAGAAGAAAGTTTTGCTCAAGTTCTTGACATTTTGGCGGACAGGTAGCATTTGATCGACGTCGCAGAATTAAAAGGTTGTATCTGCAGATCTGCAAATTTTTAAACTTCTGAGATAATCAAGAAAAACTGTTTTAAACACGTACTTCTTGAGATGATGATTTGAAGTTTTTCATATCAGCAAAGCCGTAAGGAAGGAGTATCTTAATACTATGTACCTTATTGTATGTCCATTTTAAGATGAATTATTCACTTTTTAATGTTTAATGACTTTCTTCTTCTGACATTTGTCTTGAAGTTCGCCCACGTAATGGTCGTAAGTGACACATGCTGCCTTTTGATACTTTGTAGAAATCTACGCTAAGGCTGTAAATGGCACTTACGTCCTTTCAGGTGACCATGATAATCTACCCTATACGCACAGATACGTCCAGATTGGCATTCCTGTT